CACACACACACTACAACTTCTTAGCCCGTGATTGAAGCATCTGGCACAGACCACAGAAGATAACTGTTCTGGATTGGACTCTAGATTGGCGAGGTTTAGCAGCATGTGGTACAAGTTCTATAAACTTTAAGTCAACCACAGGATCACCATCAGAGAAAGATATTTTCATTGTGTGTGGTCCTAAATCCTCCAAAGCATATTAAAGAGAGTTATTGCTGCCTCTGATGTACCTTCTTTTCTCAGTAGGCTGGTAATTGGAGACATTTGCAGACATTACCCATGGACAGGCTTGTAAGAGCAATCTCTTCCTGTTTGCTTCCTCTTTAAAAAAGTCCTCTGCTGGTCTTTTAAATTGGACCATGGGAGACAAAAAATGACAAAAATGCCCCAAATGCCCCCCACAGCATTTAGGGGCACATGCTACAAAAAAGACTGGGGGCTAAATGCTTAGAGTTAGTGTCTTGCCTAAGTTCAAGTAGCTTTCTGTATAGCAGAACAGGGATTTGAACTCTGGTCTTCTAGAGTCCTAAGATGAAACTTAGCTCACTTTGTCATTCAACTATTATACTATCATTATACATTTTAATTTCCCTTCTTGCTGGATTATACAGCTCTTTTTGCTGTTATAGAACTTTTAGTGAGTTAGAACCCCCTTTAAAGCACCTAAACTAGTTTGTTAATCCACCTGCAGGCACTGAGTTTGCAGGTTTTGCTTTCTTTCCTTTACGCCAAGAGTAACCATAATTTGCTGTAATTATAGAATGCAAATTAGAATTGGAAATTGTGGTTTTATCGTGGCTTCCAGTTACTGGCAGAATCAGACCAGAGTTAGTTAAAATAGTGAACTATAATTGCAGAAATAGGAGTTATGGAGCAGAAAACAAATACACATAGAAATCTAACTGTCTCAAACCATTTTTTGAAATGTAAAAATACATAATGGATAAAATTAGTAGAGATGTCCAATGTGGTAACATGTTTTAGAATAGTGATAAACTTTCAAAGATCTATCTTTGAAAGGTTTAGGCATGGTAATCAAGTTTGCAGACAACACCAAATTGGGATAGATAGCCAATACTCCAGAACACAGGAGCTGAATTGAAAGCATTCTTAACAGATTAGAGAGATGGGTCAAAACTAACAAAATTAAGTTCAAGAGTGACAAATGCAAGATACTCTACTGAGGTAAAAAAAAAATGAAATGCAAAGATACAGAATTGGGGACGCCTGGCTCAACAGCAATATGTGTGAAAAAGATCTTGGAGTCCTTGTGGACAACAAGTTAAGCATGAGCCAACAATGCCATGCAGTGCCTAAAAAAGCAAATGGGATTTTGGCCTGCATCAATAGAAGTATAGTGTCTAGATGCAGGGAAGTCATGCTACCCTTCTATTCTGCCTTGGTCAGACCACACCTGGAATACTGTGTCCAATTCTGCGCACCGCAATTGAAGGGAAATGTTGGAATGTGTCCAGAGGCAAGTGACTAAAATGATCAAGAGTCTGGAGAACAAGTCCTATGAGGAGTAGATTAAAGAGCTGGGCATGTTTAGCTTATAGAAGAGAAGGCTGAGAGAAGACATGATGTGCATGTATAAATATGTGAGGGGAAGTCATAGGGAGGATGGAGCAAGCTTGTTTTCTGCTGCCCTGAAGGATTGAGTGGAACAACAGCTTCAAACTACAGGAAAGGAAATTCCACCTCAACATTACCTGACTGGGAGAGCTGTTCGGCAGTGGAACTCTCTGCCCCGGATGTGGTGGAGGCTCCTTCTTTGGATGCTTTCAAGCAGAGGCTGGATGGCCATCTGTCGGGGGTGCTTTGAATGCAGTTTTCCTGATTCTTGGCAGGGGGTTGGAGTGGATGGCCCACAAGGTCTCTTCCAACTAAAAGACTTTATGAGTCTATGATTCTGTCAGACTTACTTGTATTCAAGAAAGCTATGTGAGTTCTGTCCAAGTACTAGTGCTGGGATTTGTCTTGTCGACACTCCATCTTTTATTTTAATAAACCAAGAGTGAAACAGGCAAACATTTTCAACATTGGTTTCTCTTCAGGAGCCCTAAAATGGATACATATTGGCGTCAAGTTTTTGGGCAGTAGCTGACAGTTAACATGGAAAGAGCTACAATTGGGCCCCGGTTTATGCATCTGAGCATGGCATGATTTGACCTGTTGTTCTCACAGGTCTTTTGGATATTATAAGGGCAGAAAGATGACGAGGCTTAGTGTTACAGTAGATTACTAGTGTGGCTGGCTCTGCAGCACAACCCCAGCTTTTTAAGTCTAGTATGGCTGCGGCTAACAGCACTGCGGCTAACAGCACTGCTGTTCATCTCAATTCACAAGATTTAGAAACCTATTCAGGCTGTTGGTAAGAACAGAAGAGGAGGGAAGAAATAGTTGAAAGTCAGCAAAAGTCACCTTGGTAACTGCTGCATTACGCTCACTCAAAATGAAGAGACTTCAAACATGACTACAAACAGCTTTAAAGAAACAAAAAGAATTTAATCATCTAAAGAATTAATCTGACAACTGCCCACACTTACACCTCCCACAATCCTTCAATCACTTGGGAATGAGCTTTAATCTCAAATTCCCCTCTAGTTGCATAAAATGCTAGATGTGCAGTCTTCAAACTGGGGCATTTCCGACACATTGCTCTCATGCAAATGCTCTCCCTCTCCTAACACAGCAGCCTTGCCTTTTGTCAATTTTTTTGTTTCGTTTTTTTCTGGATGCAAACTGAGAATCATGAATTATTTGTGTTGGTAGATAAAACATTGAATCTGGTGGGGATTTAGCAATATTTTATGTGCTGATTAGTGTAGTCTTAATTGTAAAAATTAAAATTTGAGTCATTGTTCTAAACAGGTCTGATTAAACAGAGAGGAGGAGGTGTGTGAAAAAACCTGAGATGAAGGAGGCCCATTAAGTAAAAATAACAAATGTTAGATGTGCCAAATTTTCTGAGTTAACCCTTTTAAAGTTAAAACTTGGAAGGGAAAAAAGTATAGTAATTGCATATTTGTCCCATCCTCTTTTTTTTTTAAAAGGTAAGGAATTCCATCATCTCTGTCTGAGTTGTCCTCTTTCCCAAGGACTAGGCAAGGATTTTCATTCAGGCTAAAAAGAATGTGAAAATCTCCTGCATACTTAGTGCTTTACTCGGCTTAGCATAGGTTATTGAAAATCTAACATGTGGGTGGCCCTGCCAGTACCCTCCCTTTATTAAGAACTAGCAAGGCAAAGAGTGGGGTCTTCATTTCAGAAACAAAGTAGATGGAAACCCCTGCGCTTCCAGGGTCAGTCACTAAATAATACCACAATGTCAAGAGGCAGAGCCAACAGGTCTCAGTCAAATATAGATTTAGGGGAGCTTTAGGGGAGAAGTGCTTCAACAGGATGTACTCAAGCCAGAAGATGAGGCCAAATTAAGTCCAGAGTAAAGAAACAGACTTAAAAAAACTAAACTGACCAAACTTAAACATTTCTAGTTACACTAATAGTTTATTTCATAGAATTGCAGGGTTAATGTAACAGTTGTAACTTGATCAGATTACATGACAACATAATTTTAACACTAATGTAGCTGTTCTCTTGACAGAAACAGAAATTGGACCTTATGTATGCAGTATTTTATGTGCTGGATATTGTATGGTTTTCTCCAGAACCAGCTGCATAAAATCTCAATCCATAACACCACTTTTTGGCAAAAGTGGTGCTTTATTTGTGAGTTGTCGTTCTGTCAAAATCTGTTGCAACTCTTCCCTAGTGAAATTATGGACTGCCATTTTGAGGAGTAGTTTGATTAAACGAACAATTGTAGCACAGTTCATGTTGACACCAATTCAGTCTGGTATATAGGATAGTGGTAGAAGTATAGAATTCTGTATATACACTGATAGGTCAGTTTTTATTCTCAGGGAAATTATAATTATTTGGAGCCTCGGTGTACACAATGTTTTACAAAGTAAAGCAATAATTAGAATGTATGCCAATCCTGCCACAGACATACAATCTAATACACATGCACACGCACAGAGGAATGTGAAAAGAGCATTTCCTCAAACAAAAGGTATGATTTTATGCCTGATTTTAAGGACTGAAGGTATAAAATTCTTTGCTCTGTTAATATATTTTCTCTATGCTTGTATCCATTTCATTGTGGAATTTTGTCTGTGTTTATATGTGCCTTCAAGTTGGTGTTGACTTATAGCATTCCTATGAATCTGGTATTCATTGGCAGTCCCCCTTCCTAGTGCTAACCATAGCTGACCCTGCTTAACTTCCAGAATTAGACAAGATCTAGTGCATCTTACAGCATTTGTATTTTCCAAATGAGTTTGTATAGTTATATTGCATAATCTAAAGTTTTTGGTCTGAATGGATTAATCTTTATCTTCCTGATCGTGTTTTAGGAGCATTGTCTGTTGTATGATGGAAGGGAGTTTCTGATTCTGGATTTAAATGCACGTTGTTGATCTACAGGTGTTCTAGGAGCAATTGAGTTTTAAAGACAAAACAGTTGAGATGTAGAGGGAGAATTAGATGTGGAGGGCTTTTGTTGTTCAAAAGTATCTGTTTTCAGGCATATCATTACTTAGTAGTTTAAAAACATTGAAGCCTGGCATCAATCAATCATATGTTTATAAAACAAGTATGATCATATTTGAACACCAGAAAATAAGAGAGATTTTTAAAATTGTATGTGCCAGAATTCTTGTAAAGAACAGGGAACAAACTGTTTATAAACCAAAATCATAGGATCAAAACTAGATGGGATATGATGGCATGTGAAATTGAACATAAAAAATAATGGCTGTGAATAGTCATTTTTGGTGTTTCAGGGAAACTTTAATTCATTTAGCACAGTTATTTGGTGTGGTTTGGGTTTGACATTGTAACCCATAGCTGAATGAGTTTCCCTTCACTAAACTTCTGTGCAGCAATAAGATACTGGTATTGGGGCCTAAATCCTTTTATTTTCTTTCCCTTAGAAGTCGCAAAGATAGTCTAGAAAGTGAAAGCTCTGCAGCAATTATTCCTCATGAGCTGATTCGCACAAGGCAGCTCGAGAGTGTGCACCTAAAATTTAATCAGGAATCCGGAGCATTAATTCCACTTTGTCTAAGGTAAGTGTTACTTCGGCTTTTTCTCAGGAAACTGCAGCTGGGATGTCAGTTCAGGCTTATATTACTCAGCTTACAAAGACTAGCCTGAGATACTGTGTGCATACACCATATGGCACAAAACTCTTGATTTTGTCTTTAAAATAAGGCATAGGCCATCAAGTGTGAAAATGCCCTGTCTTCTGAAACTATAGTTACTATTTCTTTGTAAAATGTTCTTTGTCAATGCATTTTTAGTTGCCTGTGGCCTATTATACATCAGAAAATACACTAGTGGCAGATACCCTCCTGACTTCCAACATATTTAGGTATATCCAAGACTTTTGATGAACTTTTGCATGAGCTCTTTTATCATGCCTAATTTTTTAAATTACCAGTATTTCCAGGTTAGCATGCTCCTTGACCATTATATAGGCCAAGTTAAGTTTTAACCAACATACAAGTCAAGCCTATCTGAACTTTTTGCTTGTTTGGATGTTTAATGTGTCTCCTTTAAAGTGGTGAGATTATATTGTAGGGTGTTTTTTTTTTTTTTGCATTTACTGCTTAAAACGTGAAATAGAAAGTAATAACTTGTCTTGAAGCTGCTGAAAATGTTCCAACCCACACCTTGACTTGCTGCTCAGAATGAAACACTTATTTTCACTGTCATACATTGTTCTTGGCAAGAAAAAGTAAGCCACCATAGTACAAAAGTGTAGACCTTTTTCCATTTGTACATTTAAGTAGGTACTGAATTCCAACAGACCTCACTACCTCTGAGGATGCTTGCCATAGATGCAGGCGAAACGTCAGGAGAAATGCCTCTAGAACATGGCTCTATAGCCCGAAAAAACCCACTAGGTACTGATCCCTTAATATCTTGAGCCCATGAGGCAGCAGTATATTTGTGAATATTGGAACATTTATGCTAACTGCATAAATCTTATTTTAAAGTCTGCACCATATATAAAGTCTGATCATATATAGCCATGGTCAGTTTATGTTCACTCCACCCACTGGTGGCCATCTCCACTGCAACCTTTCTTTCTAATCTTTGAACTTTTGAGTGTAATATGTAAATCTTTCTGAGATGGGTTTTGTATTTGTGCTGATCAGGTGACAGCGTGGATTTACTAAGCATATTTCCATTTACTCCTCCAGAGGCAGATTATTACATGGACGGCACTTTACATACAAAAGTATTACAGGGGACACAGCAATCACTTTTGTATCAACAGGAGTTGAAGGGGCCTTTGCTACGGAGGAGCATCCCTATGCGGCACATGGACCCTGGTTACAAGTAAGAACCCACTGCTACTTTCCTCCTTTCTATACCTTCCTTTTTATGTCTTGAAAGAATATTTTTTCCTTGGTTTTGCTGTATTATTTTAGGCTTTAGGAAACCTTTTCATCCTTATCCAGTTTTCTTTGAAGTGTTGAGAACAAGGAATTTTTAGCTAAGAAATAATGGCAAATTCTAATACTCTTCTATGTAAACAGCAATTTGCTGTCCAAAATCCCAGAACTTTTACATACTCTACAACCTCTAATTCCTTTCTTCACTACTGCAATGCAGCTTCCTTTGTAGTCACTGTTGTTTTTGAACATCATCCTGCATCCTAGGAGGCTAGGTTACAATACTTGAACTTGTGAAAACTTAAAAGGAAAATCAGAGCTGCCAAAGTTGGAGCCTTGCAAAATAATTTTAGCTTAGTACTCTATGATAAAAAGTCTAGGCTTTTGATGCAAACTCTATGCATTCTTCCTTCTCCCCTAAAAGGAAAATAGAACCAATTTCAATAAACTGCTAGGGCTTCATCTTGCCAAGTAATGATTTGAGCAGAGTGCAGTGTTGATATGCAGTGGCAGCTTTGCTTCCAAGCATTGCCTTTATGGTTTCCAGTTCATGAATTGTTAGATTGCCCCACACACTTGGTACAATCTTCTGCTCTTTCTAAAAGCATGTCATCATGACTGCATGCATCCTTTAGGATGAGATAGTTGGTTCTGGAAACAGAAATTAAAATACATTGTAGCTTTTCAAAGAGAAGTGATGGGGAAGCAGGCAGTCTCTGGAGGAAAGATTAAAGTGGCTGAGTAAAATTCATGCCCACAAGGAGTAGAGCCATGTGTTGGTTCTGCATCTTTCAAGAACTCATGATTAGATAAGATTTTATTCTTCTCTGGCAACTCATGTAAAAACTGCTGAGTTTTGTATATCACGTACACCTTCTAGCACAAATGTGAACCTATTTTTGTGGACATTTTGAAATATATGTATTAATTTGTATGAACCCACCTGCACTTTGTTCCTCTAGGTGTCACAATTGGCCTGGATTTACACATATTTATCACTTCACATTTTTTGCATTTTCTTCAGGTACATGACTATGTTAATGTTTCAAAACAATTTGAAAAGCTAGATTGGAGAAGGCCAGCTTGTTTTCTGAGAAACTTGTTGAATTTTCCAGCAATTATTTAAGGTAGACATTTGAAGACTCAAATCCATGTTCTGGTTATTTCACTGACATGAATGATCTTAAAGCATAGGTTCTTTTTATTGCAATTTCCAGTGTGAGAAGGTATATCAGATTACAGAAAACATTTAGACAAAGAATGACATTGGACATACAGACATACAGATTCTATGCAACTACATTGGATTTACAATTACATTGGTTAACAAACAAACAAAGGGGAATTACATTTTCACTCAACATTCACACACGTACACGCATTCATCCACATGCATCCAAGTATTATCATATCCTTTTCTCCCTCCTTGGAGAAGCACCTGTTAGGCCAGACCCTGCTTTCCTGCAGCCTGCCAACGTATAGTTCCATAATGCCAAAACTTCAAAACATGGAAATGCCAAAACTTCTTTCCCTAAGAGCAATGCCAAGGACCATATCTCTGTTTTCCATACAACAGAACCTGACTCCCTGCACAAAATCTAAGATTCCAAAAGCGTACTTCTTCCTCTTCCCTTGAGAAAGAAGCCCAAAAGTGACCAGACTGCTCCTGTGCAGAACTGCCACTCTCTGTCCTTCCCATGGAACAGCGCATGGCGGGTGAACAGCGTCTCTATCTGTCACAATTTGAGCATTATTAGGCCGAGTCTTTTATAGAAATATTCTGTTGATGTAGTCCCAAAGTTGTAAATTAATGATAGACGTCTTCCATACTGGATCCATCTCAGTGTTGATCTTGTTGATTGGTGTCAACAAACACAAGGCTTGTGTTGACTTCCTTCTTAACATAAGGAAGGTTGCAAACATTTCCTTTATCACTGTCCCAGTTCTTATCAGGGTTTCTCATTAGAAAGTCCAGCAAGCAGGTATTTAGTCATTGCAGGCCTTAATATTATACTGGTGTTTCCAAAATTATTAACTCCATCCCTACATTCATCTTCCATTCTTCCATTCATTCCCACACATCATTTTAAATTCATATTTGTCAAATCGGCACATTAAATTTCTTATTACATCACTATCCTTTTCAGTCATGTATTAGCTTCAGACACAGCTATTCAGAATTTATACATGTATGACAATGTATTGAAGAGTAGAGTTTCTAGGCAAAATGTTAGTGTTGGATATTCTATGAGCAACAAATAATAGTCTACATTTTGGTTGTGGGTGTGACCTTCATGGGAATAGTCTTACTCGGTTTTATGGACCTCGGGCCACCCTTCTTGCTGCTCCCTGCCCTATAATTTAAGCACTGATGATAAAGGTAAGAGGCTAGGCAAAATAGAATCTTAAAGGAACTAGAGAACTGGACTCGTGATTGCAGAATTCAAACATCATAAACAATCGTTTTTCAAGTGAATACAGTTCATGTTTCAGGCTGAGAAGAAAAAAGAGCACAGTCCTAAAAGAAGAAGTAGCAATGATAGCTGTTTTCACAGTCTGGCTCAAGAATGCTCCTACCATATTTGTCATTTTGTTTACTTGCAAAAATACCAATTCAGTTCACCAATATCTTGTCTGCCCATAATGATTCACTTTCATAGCTTGATCTGCTGCATTGTTGTCTAGCTAGGACATGCAAGAACAGTGGAAGTGTAAAACTATGGCCTCTAAATAAGTATTTTCCATCTTTTATCAAACATATTAGCAGCAGAAGGGTGTTGGGCTCTGAAAGATCTATTTGTTTTGGTTAACTATAGCAGAGGAGAATGTACTAATACGCTATGGTTCTCTTCCTACTTGTCTTAGGAGGAAATACCACTAAATTTAGTGGGATTTTTATTTTTCTGTTTATGATTATATTGTATTTTGTTGCTACTGTAGCTGATAACTTCCTTTAAAGGATAGGTATAAACATAACAATAAGATTTATTTAATATGATCCTACTGAAGTGGATTGGTAGTTGCAGTTTTTCCTTGTTTTTAACAAATTGGGAATAACATATTCAAAACAGCCTATATCCAGCTGTTTGTGAACATAGATTTCTCATAGTCCCTGAGTCTTTAGATCTTTTTTGTTCAGTTTCCATTTGCGTGATATGATGTTATAGGTTACACAACATTAATTTGAATAAGAGAAAGAACAAAACGTGACTCAATTAAGTAAGGGTCCAAACAAGTGTCATTGTACTTCTCTTGATTGTGAACATACTGAAATGAAAGTGGAAAGCCATAAATAAAACAAATCTTGCATTCTTACAAGGAAAATCTTTGGTAAGAAAGATCCTTGATTTTGTAAGCTTGCAGTCAGCAAGCCTTGTATTGTCCAAATGCTCGCTCTTGACACAGAAGCCAAACCAGTATTTCATATATCTTCTTTTGAAATAAGACACTAGAGCTTCCAGTGACGTTTTTCCTCTTGACGTTCTTTTACCACCTAGTACAACAGACAATGCCAATAGCCTTCAGGGCTATGCCTATGCTATAGGAACAAGAGTGTGTTTACCAAGAGCCGACTAGCTCCAACTCAGCTACTAATCTAGCCAAAGTGAAGCTGAGTTTCAACTGAGCAAGAAAAACCAGCCTATCCCTTTCTTCAACAAGCGCAAGTGAACCTATCCATAGTGAAAGTTCTAACAAGCTTGTTCAAGTTATAATATGTCATCATTACATGTTGTTAGTGTTGCTTAACGCATACAGATCCAATCAGATACCATATCTCATTTTTTAGCATGATAACATGCCTTTCAGACAAATTGAGCGCATTCCTTGGCCATCATCAACCTAACTGCAAATGGATGTCAAAATATATTAAGACCTCTAGCAGTCTTAACTGGTCCTCAGGTTGATATGGGTGCATGTTTACAAAAGATATAAAATGGGGAATAGACAAAAAGGAGCTATCAGAATGATCAGGGACTAGAACTATTCCCCTCTCCTGTAAGGAAATATTATAATATTTGAGGCTTTTAGGTTAGAAAACTGGTAAGAGCATGACCATTTATAAAATAGTGTATGGTAGAAGTGAACGGGTAGAGGCTTCCTCTTCTGTAATGATAGAACCCAGATTTAACTAATAGATCAGAAGGGTGGGAGATTCAGGGCAGATGTAAAGAAGTTCTGCTTTCTATAGTTCCCCAGTTCAGCCACATAGATTCCATAGCAAGAGCTACTAGTAATGAGAACTTTAATACACAATATCTCTGAAAAACAGTTGTTAGAGAATAGCAAAGGAATGAGTCTATTGCACCTGTGTCCTGCGTGTATGATTTCAAGTGGGCATCCAGATGACCATTATGAAAAACAGAATATTGAATTAGATAGGCCTTTGGACAATTCATTAGAGCGATCAATCTAAAAAACCTTTTCTAGTCCAAAACAGACCTGGAGGGCAAAAATTACATTTAAATGTCAAATCACAGAGTATTCTGTGGTTTGATTTCTTATTTTGGATCCCCTAGATTTGGATGTCATAGGGCTTGGGGGACTTTGGTCATAGGATAAATCTTTTTCTTTTGGCATAGTTCACAGTCCTCCTCAAGATAGTTTGGAGCTTTGCCCTTCTTCCTCTACTTATTTTGTAGTTCCCAGCTCTTGTTCAACCCATAACACTAACTTTGAAGACAGCTGTTCTCAAAACATAACAAAAAAAGCAAATCAGTGTTACACAATATGTGCAATGTATAGGAAAATTGGAGACCCAATGTAGTCCAAAATACAACTCTGGAGACCAGGGTTTGATTGCCTGTTTGGCCATGGTTGTTGGAAATAGCAACCTTCCAAGCCTCTGCTGTTTGTAAATGTGTATAATGGTTAACCTATATTGTATGTACATTTTGGTTTGCCAGTTTGACTGTATCTCTTTGGTGTGGGAGGGGCTTCAGACAC